CGAGACCAAAAAAGTCTGACATAAGGTGTTTCTTAGAAAAGTGAGCCTTAGTTGATAACAGTTAAGAGATGCCGTCAAGGCTCCTGGTTGGCGATGGCGGTGCCAGGAGCGAGGGCAGGCCTCCGCGTGCCGTTACCTGTGAGCTCACACCGACTGTAACTTCTGCCTTCCATGCAAATGGCCTGGGCCCCGTCCGGTGTGGTTCGGAGAGCACTGGGCAAGTCTCCTCTGCGGCAGGCTATTTAAAAGCCAAATGTAATGTGGGCACCAGCATTTATTTCTGAACAATGTGCGAAAAGAGAACAGCAGAATATAAAGTTCAAGAGTGAATGTGCAGTGAGTAATGTGGGTGTCATGTACCATGGCCGGGGAGAGGGAGGCGTTACCAGGAGGACTTGGGGGACCACGCCGACTCGGGGAGTGTGGGTGCTCCTGAGGCACACAACGCTCACTGCAGGCCTATTTCCCATCGGCCTGTCCTGTCTGCTTTTGCTGCCTGCCCGTCTCACCCCGGACTGTTGGGAGATGGGGCCTCAGGCGCACAGCTTTAGTGGCTCTGCGCTGTTGACCTCTAACATGCTTTAGAGGTCATGCTTTCCTCTCTGCCAGGAGGGGACTGAGTTTATGTTCTTAGATTTCTAAGTGGAAGTTTATCTTTGTATTTCTGAGCATTAAAGTACTAGAGTAAAGCACCTCCGGTGGTTTTTTTCCTGGGGGAGTCCAGTCGATGAACGGATCCACCTTCTTCCTCATTCCTGACAATATTGACCTTGTCTCCGCCCTGCTCTGGATTCAGAGATGCATCAGACACAGCCTTGCATGAAAGCCCTCGGTGTCACCGGGAATGTCTGGGCAGCGGGAGATGTGCGGGGCCCAGGGAAAGCCATCTCCTCAGGCACCGGGTTGGGTAGTAGCCAATGTTCATACAGAAGGATGCTGGGAACCATTGCCCAGGTGACCCAGAGGGAGTAAGCAAGTCGTGATGATGAGGACAGGGCTGGAGGTTTGGGGAGGAAAGCTCAGACAAGTTTCCTGGAGTAGTTTGCTTGCCTCGACGAGTATTTTTATTTAGCTGAGGCTGTTGAACACACACTGCCTTGTGCCAAGTCCAGCCTCGGATGGCTGGGGTGGTCTCAGACAGGTTCTTTGAGAAGATGGGGCTTGAACTTGACCTTGAAGGTCAGGATTTTGGGTAGGTGAAGAGGAGCAGGAAAATCATGCAAGGGTTAGCAAGTGGGGCGATCAGAGGCACAGAAGCAGGAGATTCAAGGCATGTGGACCAGCTTACCCGGAGCACCCGGGTTGTGTGGGGTGCAGGTTTGGGCTGCACAATAGAAGGTCTTGAACCCCGGACTTGAGTTTGGAGCCACAGGTGGTCTTTGAGGGGTGACGGGGCCTGTGTGCGTAGGGGCTCTCAGAAGGTGACACTGATGCCAATGCTTGGAAATGACTGGAGGAGAAACTCTAACCTTGGAACCACTGGGGTGTCTCTTCATTAGGGAAAGATGAAGAAAGAAGCGCTCTAGGGGGACCAGCTGAAGTCGTATGGCGAGGGGGTGGGAGTGGAAGCTGCTGCCAAGTTTTTAGCCCAACGCCAGCGAAATACACTTGTGTTTCCTTACATAGCCGAGCGCGCCGCTGATCTTTAAGAAGTGCTCGTCTTCTTTGGCACTTAGTTTCTGGGAAGAACAGGAGGAAGAACTCTCTCAGGCTGGGAATCAAGTTTTAGCTCACTCCGAGGCTATTCTTCTTAAGAACACATGGTTAGGATTTCAGGGAACCAAAGGACAGATAATGAGCTCACACCTGACGCTGCTGGTGGACTCCCGTGTCGTCTACTAGCCCGATGAGTGGGTAGCCTGGGCGTGGCCCCCAACCCCACTTCGGGTGGGCATGCCCTGCCGTGTGCTTCCCTGGGGCATGGCCCGGACCCTGACGACTTGCCTCTCGTGAGTAGACAGCAAACACCAGCAACAGTGATGAGATGCAACTTCCGTGACTGGAGCACCAGTCGGCTGTGACCTCTGTCCTGTTGTCCCTCTCTTCCGCTGCCTCGCTCTGAGCGGAGTGGCTGCTGTGGTGTGAGCTGCCCCTTGGGGAGGCCCACGAGGCGAGGACGTGAGGTCTCCAGCCACAGCCAGTGGAGACCTGAGGCCTGCCAGAAGCCACGAGAGTGAGCTGGGAACTCAGTGTTCCCCTAGTCTCCTCTTGAGGTGATGCGCGCTCTCATCTTTTTTTTTCTTTTTCTTTTTTTTTTAAGATTTATTTATTTATTTGAGAAAGAGAGCAGGAGTGGGAGAGGCAGAGGGATAGAGAGAATCTGAAGCAGACTCCATGCTTAGCATGCAGGAGGCCAGCACGGGGCTCCATCTCATGACCTCAAGATCACAACCTGAGCGGAAACCAAGAGTGGGACACTTAGCCAACCGAGCCACCAGGTCCCCCAGGATGGCTGTCATCTTATCTGCAGCTCAAGAGAGGCCAGCAGCTAAGCCAGCCCCTGATTCCTGACCTACAGGAACTGCCAGATGACAAACGGATGTTGTGTCAGGCTGCTAAGTGTGGGGATATTTGTTACACAGCCATAGGTAGCTCATACGCCCGAATCCCTTGGCAATGTCGGAGAGCACTGTTGGCGCCGGACCACGTGGGTTCATGTCCTGGCTCTGCCGTCTACAAGCTGCCCAACCTTAAGCCAATTACTTCTGTGTGTCTCAGTTTCTTAATCTGTAAAATGAGAGCAAGGATAACACCTGTGCCGGCGTGATTGTGAGGATTGGCCAAGGCAGCTCCTATACACTGATTGTGACATTGTCGGGGCTCAGTGAGCATTTGCTGCCGTTGTTGTTATTGTCTGTCCCTTGAGGGCGGGCCTGATGCGATCTCTCCTACAACTTCTGGTTCACTGCTCTACCCATGCTAACCTCTCCCGCTTGCAGCTTCTGTGGCGTCTTATCTGTACTTTACACCCTCATTTTCCATTTGAAACCCTCTGCCCTCTGACTCGTTCTCAGCTATAGAAACTCTTCCCAACTCTGAAGTGTCTCCAGAACTATGCAGAGTCCTTGACACAGAAAAAGGGATTAGGGATTCAAGAAAGCAGGTGGATGAGGAGGGAAAGAGGCTCAGAAATGACCTCCTTGTGGCCAAGGACATGTGGAATTATTGGTTACTGCATGACCAGGGCCAAGCACACATTCAGGTGTGAAACAATCCTTTTTTGTAAAGATTTTATTTATTTGTTTTAGAGAGAGAGAGAGAGAGAGAGAGAGAGAGCCAGCATGTATGAGCAGGGGGAGGGGCAGACAAGGAAGGACAAGCAGACTCCCTGCTGAGTGGCCCTTGACATGGGGCTCGAATCCATGACCCTGAGACCATAACCTGAGTGGGACCTTTCACAGACTGTGCCACCCAGGTGCCCAGAAGCAATCGTTACACTGACGGGGTGAGCACATGTAGGACAGTAGCTTGGCCATACACACATACACGATGGCAGAGGGCAGCAAAGGGGGGAGGGACATGGCGGTCCCTGCTGGGGTGGCCCCTGTGACACAAGGGGACTTCTTGACAGCTGTCTGTTGCAGGGGCGGAACACCTGGAGCCCAGTGGGAATTCTGCTGACTCAGTGAAAGTTCACCAAACCTGGTTGAAGGGACAGGGATTTGGATGATGGGGAAGGAGGCCCGGGGAGGGAGAAGGCGGAGATCCTGACCAGCAGAGAAGGTACCGGCCGCTGCTCCTGGGCACATGGCCAAGCGAGGATGGACCTTGTCACCTGGGCCCTGAGCACCGTAGACGGGGAGACGACGAAGGGGGTCTGTCTATGGTCCTGCCTGCTGAGCTCTGGGCAGGCTCCACGAGGGGACCGTCTGCAGGGAGGTGGCCTCCTGAGCCCCCCTTGCAAGGCCCTCATTAGCACCTGCCTTGGAGGCAGTGGGGCTTGTTCAGACACCCACAGGCAGGGGCGCCGTTCGCTCATCCACGCGTGTCTTCGGAACACGCCCGGTGCACTGGGCCACCTGGGGGGGGGCAGGGTAAACCTAGGGGCTCCCACCATCTGGGGCAGGAGGCTGGGGGTCCCGCCTCAGGCGGTGGAAACGTCCTGGGGCTTCTGCATGGTCACCCTGGCTGGGAGTGCCCAGGTGGCAGGTGGGCCGGGCCTCCCGCAGCTCAGAGACAATGGAGACAATGCCCCGGGGAAGGCAGTGCCATTCCTGATGGGCCGCTCCCAAGGGGCAGTTACCAGCCCCCGGGGGTGGGGAGATAAACATTAATTAACCACACACATAAGTCAATGATTCCAGACTTATTAACAGCTATGAAGAAAATGGTACGGAAGGTCAGAGGCGGGTAATACGAGACACCTCCTGGGGAGTGGGGGGCAGAGGTGCGAGAGGGAAAGAATGTCTTCCTGAGAGAGAAAGCCGTGATTAGGCTGACATCAGAAGCAAGAGTGGGGCATTGGGTTGGAGGGGTGGGTGCTGGGGGCAGAGGAGAGGAAGACTGCTCTGGGGGTGGGGGGGGAGAAGGAAGAGAGGTGAGGGGTAGAGGGTGGGAAAGAGGGGGGGAAGAGAGGGGGAGAGGGAGAGAGAGAAGGGGGTTGGGGGGAGATGGAGAGAGAAGGGGGTTGGGGGGAGATGGAGAGAGGGGGTGGGGGAGAGATGGAGAGAGAGGGGGTAGGGGAGAGAGAGAAGGGAATTGGGGGAGATGGAGAGAGAGGGGGTAGGAGGAGAGAGAAGAGGGTTGGGGGAGATGCAGGGAGAGAGAGGGGTTGGGGGGATGCAGGGGGTGGGCTGAGGCTAGCACGCATGCCGGCCCTCGAGGGGATGCGGTCCGTGTCCCCGCTGCCCCGTGTCGGGTGACCTGGGCGGCGCGAGGGCAGGAGGGGGAGGCTGCGCGGAGTGTGGGGCGCTGGGGCGGGAGGGCAGACGCGCGGACGGCTTGGCTCGGCCGATGCCGGGAGGCCGGGTGCGGCAGAGACAGGACGGCGGCCTCTCAGGAAGTGTCGGCCGGGAGGCTCGGGGCTCTGCGCTGGAGGAGGGGGCCCCGTGGTGCTGCGGCGGCCGGGGGCGCCGGGCTGGGCGGCAGGAGAGGCGCTGCGCTCACAGAGGGGCAGGGGGGCCGCCACCCCAGCGAAGGCTCCGGCACCCGGAGGTGGGTGGCCTGGGACAGATAGAGGACGTGGCCAGGGGGACGGGGCCAGGGAGATGGGGCCAGGGAGACGGGGACAGGGAGATGGGGACAGGGAGGCAGGGACAGGGAGGCAGGGACAGGGAGCCGAGCCGGGACCAGGGGCAGCCAGGCCCCTTGGCGGGAGGGTTGAGTAAGAGGGGGATTGAGAAACGCGGCCTGGACGTGGAGAGTGGGGCCCCTGGTGACGTCGGCCAGGGCTGACGTGGTGGCCGCCCGGGTGGCCCCGCGGGCGGGAGGACAGGAAGCGGAGGCGGCCTGACAGCCCTTTGAAGAAGTGCTGGAGGGCAGCGCGGGCGGGAGCAGGGGGGCTGCGGCGCCCGGTTCGGGCTGGTGGGGGGCGAGCAGGCCTTTGCAGCCCGGAGCCGCCCCCACGGGGTGTCACCTCAGCCACATCCCCGGCCCTCCCGGAGACACGAGCGCCACGACCCCACGGCCCTCTTGCCCGGCGGTGCCGCGGCCGACCCCGCACGCGGGAGGCCACACCGGGCAGCTACCCACAGACCAACCGCGGCGTCCACACATCTCCCCGACCCGTGTGCCCTCGAGCCTCCCGCTGCCCCGCCGGCCTCTCGGGGGCAGCGGGCGGGTGGGTGCTGGACGGCGGAGCACCTGGCCGTGCTGGGGGCCTCTGCATCCCCCAAGTGGGCACAAATTGGTGTCTTTTTAAATCAATCTCCAATGGAGCCAGTTGTTAAACACCCAGCAGCCCGGCGCCCGGCTCGTCCCCAGGGGACCCCGGGGACGCCTCCATCTCAGGGAGACCTCTGTGCCGGGCAGCGGTGCAGGGCCCCTCGGAGCGGCCCGTCTGCTCCGCGCCCGGGGGTCTTCACCACCCGAGACCCCGTCTTAGGCCTCGGGGTCGCGGAGCTCTGGGGGCACGGGCAGGAGGGGCCACCCTCCACCCTTCTGAGCGCTGTCTGCCACCCAGCCTGCGGCCCCTTTCCTGTCGTCCCCTCCCCCGAGCGCGGGCCCAGAGGGGGTGGTACGAGACCCTCCACCTGCCCAGCCCGGCCCCGTAGGATGTTGCTCTGTTCACTCCATTTTATAGATAAGTAAACTGAGGCGAGGGAGGGGGAGCTGCCCAGGGCCCAGGGGCACCCGGACTCGGCGTCCCATGGCCTGGCTTCCGCGTGCTGCTGTCGCCGTGCCAGCCGCGGGTGCGTGTGTGAGAGGCTCGAGGGGGCCCGGGTGGTCGTGGGGCTCGAGCGGGGCTGCGTCGCCAGCTGCTCCCCACGAGGCCGGGCGGTCGGTGGGCTTCCCCTTTCTGCCCTGCAGCCTGCGCCGTGCCCGTGGCCAACCTGCCGCCCGCCGCGGCCGCCCCCACGTGACGGACCGGCCCGTACATTTCCCCATTCAGCTGATGGTGAGTGCTGTGCTATTTTAGGCCCACATGGAAGTATTTTTTTTTTTTTTTGTAAGGACCATCTGCTACCGGCCCCAGCCCAGATGATACAGTTAGAACCTACCCACAGCATCCTCTCCCGCCTTCAGACAGTTCCAGGAACAAGGGTGAGTCAGTCGCCCAGCTGAACTCCTGTCTTGCTACTCCGAGCGATGGCCCGGGTGCCAGCAGAGGGGGCCGCTCCTGCCAGCGGGGCAGGTGCACCTGGCCGCCTCTCGGAGGCTTGCGGGGCCCCTGCCCGTGCCCCCGGGTGCCGCTGCCTGCAGGGAGAGCCTGAGGAGGGCCCCAGGAGGGCTCAGGTCAGCCCCTCTCGGCGGAACCCCTCCCCCCAGGCCGCCCTCAGTTCCCAAGTTCCAGTGGGGACCCTGGAGCTTCCACCACGGCTCATCAGGAAGCCCGGCACAGGGAAGTGAGGGCCTGGCGGGGCCTGGCTCACCGCCCTGCCCTGGAGGTCCCCTGGAAGCACCCCTGGGTCTGTTTTGGGGTGAGAGACATTGGGCCCCATCTCATTGGGCTGCTTGGGCCGGTGGCGTCACCGCGGACCGCAGGCCCTCAGCCAGAGGCTTTGCTCATCTGCTCTGTCCCTCGTGTCCACACCTCGTGGCTCCCTGTGCTCGGAGGATATTTAACTGCAGTCCAGTCGGTCGTGAATCCGGGCGCTGCCCCTTTATAAGGCCTGCGACCCGGGGCAAGACGTACTTCATCCCCAGAGCCTCAGTTTGCTCATCTGTGCGGTGGGGGCCAACCTGACCTAGTGCCCGGCGGGGCTGTGGGCATTCGGTGGGGCGGGGTGGGGCAGGACGTGGCACGGTGCCTGGCTGTGATGAGCACTGTCACTGTGAACCTCAGAGGGTCTGTCCTTCGACCTGGCTGAGGAGCTGGGGGGCGGGTATTGGAAAACACGGGTCTGTAACTTAGAGACGCAGCACTTCCCGCCTTGCATTCTCGCATTTTCCGTGTGCCTGGCCCTGTCCTCCTGAGAGGTGGCTATTCTGTCTGCAGGGACCCTGGTCCAGGAGGTGCAAGGGCATGACCTGCAGCGCACGGCCTGGGGCCTGATGACCAGAGCCACCGCCCCTGCCGGCGACAGGAGCCCCCAGACCTCCCAAGCCAGGGGCTTCCTTGGGGCCTCCCTCTTCCTCTGACCCCCAGGGAGGGGCGGCTGAGGGCCCTGCCCAGCTGGCCATGCTGTGCACGTGCTGGCCACACCGGCGGTGGGCCCCGGGGCGCAATCGGGGGGGCGCAGCCGGCAGGAGTGGCCCGCTAGCGGGCGTGGGGCTGCGGCCTGCCCGCGCCACTTCCTGTCCCAGAGTCTCTCCACCACCGCTCCGTGCCGTCCTACAGTTTATCTGTGGTCAGTGCTCTTACCCATTTCCTGCAGCTGCTACTGGTTTTTCAGTCAGCTCCGTGAGCTACAGTAACTGGGGAAGGACACGGGCTTCGTGATTCACCAGCCACGGGGTTGGCAGGGTGCAGGGGACCCGTCCCTTGGTGTGCGGAGCGCGGGGACCGCCCCGCCTCTGTCCCCCGGGCCTTCCCCCAGGCCCAGCGACCTGGCCACAGAGACACAGAAAAGACCCACACATTCATTGTGAACCGAAAGCTGGTATATGTGCGTGCGTGCACGCGCGTGTGGGGTATAAGGGATTTTTTTCTTTTTTATTTGAATGTGCCCAAGCCAAAATAAATGGTATCACGGTTTGAGAAGTCAGAGCGTTACCCTAGGCTGCGCTTCGCCCCTTTCACGGGGAGCCCCAGGTCCTCTTGAAGGTGTAACGGTGGTGAGCTCGCAGTGCCCCAGATGAGGGTAATGGAGTCACACTGAGAATTTTATTTCCTGGCATTTCTAAAAATGCAGAGGAAAATCCCCCAATGCAACAGATGACTCCTTCAAATAGAGCACTTAGAATGGGCCCATTAATTGTTTTTATGCTCTGGACCAGCAGTTCAAAGTAGTCCAAAACATCGATGAGCATTTAGTGAAGGGTCGTAATTGCCAGGATGAGGTCAAGAATCGGGGGGATGAGGTCAAGAATTGGGGGGATGAGATCAAGAATTGGGAGGATGAGGTCAAGAATCGCAGGGGTGAGCTCAAGAATCTGGGGGATAAGCTCAAGAATCTGGGAGATGAGCTCAAGAATCAGAAGATGAGATCAAGAATCGATAGATGAGGTCAAGAATCAGGGGATGAGGTCAAGAGTCAGGGGGATGAGGTCAAGAGTCAGGGGGATGAGGTCAAGAATCGGGGGTGAGTTCAAGAATCGGGAGATGAGGTCAAGAATTGGGGGATGAGGTCAAGAGTTGGGGGGATGAAGTCAAGAATTGGGGGATGAGGTCAAGAGTCGGGGAGATGAGGTCACGAGTTGGGGATGAGATCAAGAATCAGGGGATGAGGTCCAGAATTGGGATGAGATCAAGAGTCAGGGGGATGAAGTCAAGAGTCAGGGGGGTGAGCTCAAGAATCGGGGGATAAGGTCAAGAATCGGGGGATGAGGTCAAGAGTTGGGGAGATGAAGTCAAGAGTCGGGGGATGAGGGGATCCCTGGGTGGCGCAGCGGTTTGGCGCCTGCCTTTGGCCCGGGGCGCGATCCTGGAGACCCGGGATCGAATCCCACATCGGGCTCCCGGTGCATGGAGCCTGCTTCTCCCTCTGCCTGTGTCTCTGCCTCCCTCCCTCCCTCCCTCTCTCTCTCTCTCTCTGTGTGACTATCATAAATAAATAAAAATTAAAAAAAAAAGAGTCGGGGGATGAGGTCAAGAATCAGGGGCAGGCATTGGTGGATGGGTGGCAGGGCAAGGCCAGGACCAGCGGCAGAGGCACTGGGAACCTTGTGCGTGAAATGCAAACCGTCCGGCTCCATGGGGGGCAGGCTGGGTTTTACCTGGCTCTGCAGGGGGTCCCGCCCGCCATTCAAGCATGGCCTCGGCAGTAGATTTTATTAATTTTCTTCGTAGATGTGGCTTGTGAAGAAGGAAAAACAGCATCCCGGTGCAGAATGAAACTGCTCCTCCCGTGCACGCTTGCCGCCCCCCTCGTGGTAGCACACTCTGTGCTAGACACAGCAGGGGACCAAGAGCCACTCTCAACAACAAGGATGCCACCTCCTCCGGAGAAGCTCCTGAATCTGACGCTGGTGGGGTGGAGGGGCCTGGGGAGGAGTGGGGAGGGGCTCAGTGGAGTAGGGGGTGAGATGGGGACTGTTTTGTCCATGGTGGAAGCTAGATACAGGAGAGGGAGAAAGGGGAGACGTTACAGTGGGGGGGGGGCTCCGGCAATGGCCTTGGGGGGCTTGGGGCTCATCCCAGTTCTGACAGTGAACAGTGCGGTGGGCTCAGGCAGGTCTCTGTGCTAAGCCTCTGTTGTCTTATCTGTATAATGGGTTTAATGACACTTCCTTTTATGATTGTTTTGAGACTTAAATGAGGTGATGTGTGCAGAGCTCTTGGCACAGCCCTCCCTATACACTATATGGACAATGATAATTTTTACATCTGAGGGCATGGGGTGCTGGTGGGTGACGTGAGCAGAACACTGTAACCACCCCAGAAATGCCTAGTACACACGCTCAGGCCTGTGGAAGCTCCTTTTTGAGCAGGAGATCCACCTGCCATTAATATTTCGGGCCGTAATCATGTTTCGAATGTGTCTGAGAAAATATCTTAAATCCTGAAAAGCATCCCTCCCCTTTCTCCGTTGCCATATTTTTGGATTCTAAAATCAACAAATGCAGAATCTGACCACTTTCCAAAGCAACGTGCCTTTGGAGTGAGAACAAAAATTGCCAAGCAATGCTTCAGTTGTTCCCTTTCAAAAAGTCACAGGGCTCAGAAGACAAGAAAACCTTGGCTTTCGAAACCCACGCTGCTTGGGGCGGGGGGCGGTGGTGGTGGCTGTCAATCCCCACCACGCTCAGCGCGATCAGCTCTGGAAGTCCCCTCTCTGGTGACCTGCTCCCCACGCTTGCTGGCTGAGCTGAGGAAATGAGCTGACCAGGATTTGTTCTTCCAAAGGCAAGAACCGCCCCCCCCTTCCAGCCTGGGGAGTGGATGGCAGATCTGGGAGGCCCGGAGAGGACAGGTGAGCCCTTGGGGAGCACCACCGCCCCCAGGACCAGCTGGGCAAAGCCCTGTCTCCACCCCCTTCCCTTTCAAGCAGCCTCAGCGGGGACGGCCTCTAGCCATCCCAGGCAGGCCGCTGTTGTCACCAGATCCTGGCACGGGCCGTGGATGGGGACAGACCCGAATGAGCTCCATGAACGCGGGCCTTGATGTCAGCCACACGGAGCCGGCGCCCGCTCTGCTCTGAGGGGTCTCCTTTCTTGCCTTGCCTTTTGCACACTGTCTGCTGGCTTCGGCGGGGGGCGGGGGGAGGCGGCGTTTCAGGTGGGGGCACCTCGCAGCACCCAGATGCCCACATTTGGAGGTGACACAGGCAACCCAGGTGCATTCGCAGGAAAACGCGTGCAGCTGCCGCACCCACATCAAAAGCGTGTGGTCCCGGTGTGGGAGTCCGGGGCGATGGGAGCGCTATTCCTGGCACAGGCAGGGGCTTCCTGATACGCAGCCCCCCTTTATCTCGGTTTCCCCATCTCTAAAGCAGGGCAAGATCTAACTTTCCTGGTTCCACAAAACCTTGCGGGCAAACCACTTCACGGGTCGGACCCAGGGTGCCAAGGACCAGAGAGACCTTCCAGCGCGCTCCCCGAGGTTTTCTGAGAATCCACCAGATGCAGTCACAACCTGCACTGTGCTTCTTAGGGGAAGCGGTGCCATGAGAAGTGCTCCCCGGTTTTGAGGTTGAGCTTTGCCGTGGCTCTCACAGCTCCGGGCTGGCCTCTGCTCTGCCCCCAAGTGCTCTTCCCAACCCACAGCTGGAGGCTGCCTCTCTTCTGCTTAATTCCCGCTGAGCACTGATGTGGAGAAACAGCCAGGGCTCCTTCCACCCCCGGCCCATCCTCCTCGACCTTCTGAAGCGAACGTGCTCACGGCGCGGGGCGGTTTCAAGCTCCCCTGCAAGGCAGGCCCCTTTTCAAGTCCCAGGCCCTCTGCAGATGCTGCTCCCTCTGCACGTTCTTCCCCTCTGACCAGCTCGGCAGACTCCTCTTCATCCTTCAGAACCCAGCTCCTTTTCATCCCCTCTGGGAAGTCTTCCCTCCATCCTCAGGCTCAGCATCAGGACCCTGGGCTGCCCTGAGGCCTGCTCCCCGCCCCCATCCCCAGGCCATGCTGGCTGCAGTGCTTGTGGGAAGCCAGAGCCCAGGAGCCCATCGTCCCACTTCCTCTCCAGACTGCAGCCCCCTGCAAGGTCTGGAATTCCCATTCCAGGAACCCCTGGGGCCGGGCAGGCTGGAAGCAGGGAGGGACGGAGGGAGACAGGTGGAGGGAGATGGTCTCCCAGACGGAAGGCAGATTGGAGCTGGGTGGGGAGGACAGCTGGGAATGTGACTGTGCGTCCCGTTGTATGTGTGATCACCTCCTGCTGCCGCAACGGGCAGGGAGGGGCCCCTCTGTCATTTCGGCGCACAGCCACGTGGGTGCTCGGTTGCCGGAGCAGCGAGCCTAGGGAAGGGCCGAGCGTGACCGGTGCCAAGGATCCTTCTGCCCGAGGTGAGCTGCTGCCCTCAGGAGGAAGAGGTGGCCGTGAGAAAGGCAGGCCCAACTGCTGGGAGATAAAAGCCTGGGAGGGGAGGTGCCGGCAGCCCATCCTCTTCCTGCCCCAGGCTGACAGCGTGTGACATTCAGATAGCTCCCTAGGTCTGGTTTTTCCTGTTCCTGGAATTGCACATGGTAATTTCTCCGGGCTAGGTCAGAAGCGCCCGTTGGGGAGCGTCCTGTGCGCGTGCGCGTGCACGTGCGTGTGTGTGTGTGTGTGTGCGGTATCTCAGTTTATAGCAACAGGAGATTTGGGATTTGTATCAGCATCCCGTCCCAGGCTGCCTTATTTCCTAGAGAGGACAGGGCTGAGAGCCTGGAGCTGGACCCCTGGTGAGGTCAGGGCTTGGAGGAAGGGGCTCCTGGGTCTGGCCTGGCCGTGGCCCATGGCAGGGTCTGATCCGTGGCCTTTCTCCTCTGCTAGGATGAGGCCCAGGGCGCTGGCCTGCCTCCTGGGAGGAGCTGGGGTGTGTACCCGGCTCAGCTCAGTGGGGTTCTAGACTCTGCAGCTGGCTGGGTCTCTCAGTTCTGGTGGCCTCTGTCCTGGGCAGGCAGCACTGATGGGTAAAATGGACCTAGAGTGAGGGGAAGGGTCACTCTGGAAGGTTGGGGGGGCAGGTTACAGAGGGTGAAGATGGGCGGGGACAGCCATGGGGGCTGGCGGCGGGAGGTTCCTGGGCACTCTGAATGGGAATGAGGGAAGCCTCCGGTTCCAGAGGCTTTAAGGCAGTGGGGCAGCGTGTCCTTCATGGTCGAGGAAACGGGGGCCACAGATTGAGCGACCCTCAGTGCAGGGGCCCCCACCGTCCCCTGTCCCTGTGCGGGGGCGTCTGGGCTGGAAGCCGCTGCCATAAGCACGCAGAGGGAGGGGTTGGCTTCTCGGGGGCAGAGTGACTTGGTCTGGCTTTCTGGGCTCAGCAGCACAGGTTGTGCAGCCCGGGCTCCTCTGGCGTATCTCGGTCTATCTGCTGGCCTTCCTCTGCTCGAGAGAGCCATTACTGGGGGGCCCAAGTAGGAGGCACCCTCAGGGGGAGGGGGAGGGGCCTGCAGCAGCCCGGGCGGGTCCAGGCTCCGTGCTTGGCCCAGGCCTCCTCTCCCTGGGGCTCCGGGCACCGCAGAGACCAGGCTTCGCCCCAGAACTCAGACCTCGGGTCTCCCCCTGGAAGCAGCGCCGCCTGAGCCCTGACCTTGGTGGTTCTCGGTCCCGGGGCTGAGTGTGCAGCCCTGGGAGGGGAACCTGGGGCCGAGCCTGGGGCCGCCTGGAGGCCGGGACAGCTCACATGGCAGGCTCCCCGCACCAATTTCCCCCTTAGCTTGTTCCACTTTTAAAAATAGCTAATGAGGAAATTAATTTTGTCACCCAGATGTATTCAGTAAAAACATGTCAGGGAGAGACAATTAACCTCTGCACTGATAAATCCTTCCCAAATTAATGAAGTTAATATTTGTAGATGTTGAGACATTCATTTGGGGGAGAGGGCCCATGAAAGTAGGGGGTCCCCCCACCCCCGGGCACAGAAGGAGAGAAGAAAAGGGGGAGAGAAGGGAGGGGGGAGAAGGGAGGGACGGAGGGAGGGAGGAGGGTAAGGAGCTGGAGAAGGGGAGGGGCCGTGGAGCCAGATGGAGAGAAGCAGGGGGGGTCACGAGTGATTCCAGGGAGCACAGCTGTGATGTTTCCCCAGAATGTTAAACTTCCCAGGCATTCACCTGCAGTAGGTTTGGGGCAGGAGGAGACTTGACAAAGTCAGCCGCAGAGGGAAGGGTTGGGATCCGTCGACGATGAGGAATGTCCGGGCCCCCTCTGACCAGGTCTTCTCTCTGCTAAGGACTCGGGGTTCTTTCTCTCCCCCCGAGGGCGTGGGAGCCCAGGCCCTGGGCAGCGGCCCCCCTGCGGGAGCACCCAGAGCAGCCGCCGATGGCTCCTGAACGCCCACCCTGTGCCTCCCGGACCGTCCTGAAATCCTGACTGGGGGTGCCCTCGGGTTTAGGGCCCAGCCTCCTTGGCCTCCTCACCCTTCTCTTCTGGCTCAGGCGTTGGGCTGCAGGTGACAGCCCCTGAGACACCCCAGGCTGGCCCCGGGAGCGAGGACCTGGGCCCTCATGCCAGGGAGGGAGAGGTGCGGTCAGGGGGTGCAGGCAGCAGGTCAGCGTCCCTGACCCTCTGCGGCCTCAACCGCACCCGAGGAGCGCCAGCTTAGGAAACCCATTGTGACATGGCACCCCTGGAGCTCAGACTGAAACGGAAACTTCTTGGGGGACTTTTGGCTTTGGAGACATCAGCTAGAATGGCCCAGGGGCTGTGTGAGCTGGCGGGGTTTGGCCACCCCTGAGACTGAGGCCGGGGCTGCCCCTGTGGTGCTGGCAGGGAGGGGACACCCGTGCCACCTGGCTGGCATGTCTTCCCAGAGGGTGGGACCCGGCTGTCGGCTGGCTGTCGGGCCCCAGCCCAGCACGCCGCCGCTCTGCTGCCTT